CCACACATGTGCAGGCCACCCATCTGACCTCGACACGCGCCAGAGTAGACACGTGCGCGTGCCAACAACGCATGTGTTAGTATGAAGAAAGGCCGCTGATTGATCGCATGCAATCGGCTAAGAGAATAATGGTTCATGAGGCAGGTGCAATGGGTGGTTTCTGGGAATAGATAAAGTTCGTTCTGGGAAAAAAATGAACGAAGCCTCGTCTGCAGGGACTGTTCACCCTGGAAACGACCTCGTTGAATCCGAGCTCGCTGATTTAAGTGCTCTTTGAATCCGAGTTATTTTATTGATTTTAAAGAAGAAAAAAAACAGGGAATCTATCTCATCTCGTTGAATCCGAGCTCGTTGAATCAGAGTTCCACTGTAATAACTCTAGCCTATATCTATGAAAATATAAGATGGCACTGGAACAGACAAGGCAAGATTGAACAATACATTGCAGGTTGTTTTTTTTAAGTCATACAAATCATGTACATAAATTACTTGTAACTTGATTTCCTGTTAAGGTTGGTTTTCCTGTCTCTCTGAATTTCAGATTAGCCCTGTCATGGAGACGAGCTGTAAATCTCTGGTTCATGAAACACAAGGCATGCTTCGAGACCACCACATGGAGGCTACTTCAACCGCAATAGAGGAGGGAAATTCCTTGCACGTACTTGAGCTGCCGGACTCCATATTCCTGCACATATTTGAATACCTCCCGTTTTCTTCCGTCGGAGCCTTGGCTCGAGTGTGCAGACGCTGGAGATGCATTTCTTCTGATGAACTCTTGTGGCGAGAGGTCTTTCTCCGTCATTATAAACTTCCGAAAACAACGGTGATGCCAGCAAAGTGAGTATGGAAGGGTACTAGGAGTTGACATGCCATAGAGCAATGAGTTTTATCCTGGTTTGTCTTTGAGCTCAGGATGAGTGAAGTTTGTTCAGGAGGGAGTGAGATGTAAAGGAAAACTTACTATGAGAAAGTCAGGTCAGTGAAAAACTCCTTGTGACAGGATTTCAAAGGCAAACAACAATCCTGAGTTTCTGTTGGGTTTGTTGTAGAGTCGAGAATATTTACTTGTGTGTTTCTTCTTGTTCTTCCTTCCATTTTCGTAACCAGTATTAAAAAGGGTTCTGTTAGTTTTCCTCTCCTTTATTTCCTTGTTTCAAATTAAAAGTAAAACTAACACTAACAAAATGCTTCTTGGAAAAGTCAACACCAAAAATTTGGAAACTTTTCTAGTCTCAGTAAATATAATCAGTTTTTTTCACTTAAGAGTTGAAATAATGGGTGAAGACATTTTTGTTACTGTTTTAGGTGGGGAGGAGGACTGGATGTCTCACTTTCAAGAAATGAAACAAAAAAAGGTTAATAAAATGCCATGCATTTGCTAACACTAACACCTAAATGGTAAAGCAGTCATATTGATTTATTATTCTCTCATTATATACAAGGAACGATATATATATATATGCATGAAATATCATCTCAAATAAGAACAGACTTTTATATATGCAACATTTTATTCCCCCAGAGCCTGCTCTTGGAGGTCAGAGTTCAAGCGGTTGCACTACCACACCCCTGTGTTGTTGACTGAGGAGAGGAAGGAACATAAGGATGAAGTTTTGCACATCAGTTTTTCCCATAATGGCACCATGTTTGCTACTTGTTCCAAAGATGGGTTTTTTAAGGTAAAAGCCCTTACAGATTCCGCTACATCTCAAAATACAGCCAAAATCTCTTTTATTACGCTTTTCTGTTTAAACCTTTCAAAAACCAACCTAAACCGGATGGTGAAAAATGCGCGACTAGTGTTGAACCCAATCGCAACCAGCTAGGGGGGGACACCTCATTGCTTCTGCAGGATTTCCTCAATGGCAAGCTTGACTGTAAATGTAATGATTATGAATAAAGCGGCATTAAGTTGTCACACCTACTTTTCATGAGGAAAGTGAGTCAGGGTTTACTATTACTTCCATTTCGTTCAAAAAGTATATGAACACTGGGAAGCTGCGTGGTGCTCAGGAAACTGAACAAGCGGGCAGCCATTGTTGATGAAGAATGATGATAGGAAAGGGTTTAAATGAGAAAATAATGTGAATATCATTTTTCCCTCAACTGAACTTTTCTGTCATTGCATAAAAGTATGAACAAAATGGAACAGTCAAACCTGTCCAAGACGACTACATGGACAAACGACCCCCCACCCTTTGCATTTTTTAAAGTATCATAATGATACTGTCTGAGAGGACCACCCATCTAAGACAACTACTTTTCTCCTGACAGTGAGTGGTCATCTTGGACAAGTTTTGACTGTCGTTTATATTTGAAAAAATTAAGTCAACGAGGGGGGGGGGGAAACCTGTACTATTTCAACTTCTCTTCCCTGTCGTGCCATGCTCTGCCAGGTATGGGAGTGCACCCACCCATGTCGTCTGCTGTTTAAGATGGACATGAAGAACACTTTCAGCTGGAAGTTCACCCAGTTTTCCCAGTTCAACGAGACGGACACTTGTCTCTTGGTATCTGGAGTCTATTTTGGCCGGTTCAGTACATCGGGGGAAATTGCTGTTTTCAACTTACAAGGTAAAAATAAAAAATCGTCTTTTGATTTATTTTGAAGCTTTAAAAATTATTATCAGAGTTGATTATTTATTTCTACTGGGGAAAAAAAGGTGCTCATAGAAATGGTTGCCATGTAGCTACATGAAAAATGTATTATGTGCTCCAACAACCAATGTGTATTGAGATTTTCAAGCAGGTTGTTGAAACCACCACTGGTAGGTCCTACTTCTGTTTTTTTAAAATCCATTTGTTTTTCCTGTCCGTCTAACTGTCTACCTGGTTATCTTGCTCTTTCCCTGTACTAAATGACAATAATTTTGTCAGTGTGCTGCTTTCTAAACTCCTACAATGTGAGTGGTTGACGGGTGCT